ATCAAAAGAAAGAAGTAGAGATCAGGAGAGAGAATCCAATTGTGACCAAGACCAAGCTAATAGTTGTGACCGAGGGAGGGATTATGATCAAAGGAGCAGAGACCGTCACAGGTACAATGATCGAGAATGTGGTAGGGATTATGAGCGCCCTCGGACTTATGATTCTAGAAGTTGCCACAGGTCACATCAAGGTCTAAGGAGCATTCCAGGGATTATGATTGTCACAGGTACTTTTTTCTCTTTGTTTATGGTTTTTTAAAGTTCATTTTCACATGGACTTGTGTATGAGTCTCCTGCCATTATTGGTTAATTTTTGTAATTCCATATGTGTTTGTTTACATGTCAAATTGATGCATGTTTGGATTATATGTATGCTTCTTATCATATTCTTAACTCAACTACCTGTATGTAATTTCATTATTTTCAAAAAGATCTAACTACCTTAGGTAAGTTTTATCATAGTGGACATGTGGAATAGAGGGTATAGGTTAGAAAAGTTTTGAATTGCTTGGTGGAATGATTTTCAAACAGGATTTTGTTAAAGGTAGGGCTGTAAGAAGCCATGCCTCTCTCATCAAGTTGAACTCAAAATAATAGTAACCCCAGTTTGTATTTGGTTTCTTTTAGTTAAGTGAGTTGACTTAAACATTTTAATGCTTGGCCTAAGAATTAGCCATTCCGTGCTTGTTTAACAATGCATCATTAATTTTGTTTTCTGATGATTTTTTAGCTTGTTGAATTTGTGTGAAGTTAATATGCTATTAGTTTTCTAGTGTAAAATGTGCCAAAGTTGACTTCATGATGAGGTTTTCACCATTGTTTTCAAATTTCATGCTGAACTCTAGCTAATATTTGAGTCCAAGAAAATGACTAAATGATATTATTAGGTATATTATTAGGTATATTGCTATTCCAGTTGAAAATGACTAAGTAATCTAATATGACTAAATGAAAATTAATTCAAGGCTGGATGCATGACAGTCGGAGGTTTGAATTGTTGTTTTTTTTGCTTCGAGGGCGTTATTGCTAGTCGTTAAGCAATTGAATAAATTTTAAAGAAATTGAACGGATCGTAGAATTTATTTCCTCCCCTCCAATTTATCTTTTTATCCAAATAAAACCCCTTCACTCCCCAATTTCTTTTATCTTACTGGTATTTTATTTTCCTTTATAGATTGTTCGGTTTGAGGAAAATGGAGAGAAGGGAAGGAAGAAAGGTTCTTATTTCCACTTATTAAATTAAGTTGTTGAGCTAACAAAATAATTTAAGTGGTTATAATTATTTTTCCTTCTCTTTTCTCAAACCAAATAAACTATTAATCCATTTCTTTTAGACCAAACAAGCTCGTCCTTTTTGTTAAAGACAAACAGATGTGAACCTAAAATGAGAGGAAAATTCTGGAAATGGCTTCTAAGTTTTGTAACTGCTTAGAGCTCTCTAAAATTCGTTCATTTTTCAGATTCTTATACAAAAGCATTAGTCGACAGATATATTTTCAACCAAATACATCAAGATTACATCAGAAAAGTATAGTTTACCTAACACAGCACTGAGATTGCTATAAAGATTTACATGAAAAAGAAACTGACAAGTAGACTTCGTCATATTTGAACTTTGTATTACAAAAGAACTAGCAAGGATCAAGGAAAAAATTCAGGTTCTTACAGCACTTTTTTTAGATGAACATTTACAGCTAGGTCTCATTCTGATCCTTTGTCCCGGAAGATAAACAATTTGAAAAGTATGATATGCTATGAAGTAATGTGCAGGTCATCTACAACACCAAAAATTGCATAATTCCATGTCTTCACTATCTGAGTAAATTGTTATTTGAACTGGCTGTAATGGTCCCTTTTCAGAGAAGCTCAATGTCAAGGGAAACCACCTGGTACTCAACCTATGATATAATATAAGGAGTTTATCAAGCTCGAACAACACCCAAATGCAAATCTCTGATCGGACTCATCAAAAGAGGAAAAAAATAAAAAATAAAAAACTCGTATGGAGCACTGACACTAGTGATCTCATAATTCTCAATCAAAAGGGTAAATACATGGAAGTTTAAAATTATAGTTTGCTTTGTGTGTAAAATGAAGAGTTGCTTAACAAAGAGACATGAGAAATCTATAAAACTGAAAAAAACATGATATTCTGAATTAATGCGCATAGCTTCCCTTAGAGATTATGTTTGATTTGAGAAAAATTAAGTGGAGAGGAGAGGGAAAAAATGGAGGATTAAGATTCTGTTCAAAATGCTTGTGGCTTTGATTTTTAGTTTGGTATTCATAATTCTTCCAACTATTGAAAACTAAAACCATAAATTTGTTTAAAACTAATTTTAACACTAACAATTAAAAATATAAACATTTTTAATAACAATAAATTATTTTTGTTTTTATTTCTCTAATAATTATAAAAATATGTTGCAAAAACTCAGAATTAAAATAAATTTTTTGTTTAAAGTTGTAAAATTTATAAAAACTAAAACAAAAATACTAATAACTACAACCATCCTAATAAAGACTAAATTAACCATATACTGTCTCTATTTTTGAATGAAAACAAAAATAGAATACCATTTAAATTTTTTTTGTACATAGAAATCAAAGATTAAACCCTAAACTTGTAGCTAAGAGTACAGGTAACTTTACCAACAACAGATCACATAACTGATAGTGAATACTATTTAAATGTAAATCAAGATGGGCAGACATAATTGACTTACAAATCACATCTCTTTTTTGAATGAAGATACATAACAATTCAATTGCTCTCTTTCACACAATAAACAAGCACAAGAAGAAAAATAAAATGAAATGGTCACTAGTGGTTTCCAAAATTAACTACTTGATAATCATACGACACATGAATTTTAGAAATTAAAAGATTTTTTTTGAATGCCAAAGGACTGTGGGAGCTTGATAAAACAAAAATCTAGCTTATTGTGAGTGCACCATTAAAACCTACAAGAGAAAAAAAAAATCTTCATCAATACATATAGATGATTATAATTAAGAGATAAAATATAGACTGCAACATCTATATGAATGGAAAGGTAAATGAGAGAAGTGTAGATAATTGAAGTAGAGGCCCCACTCACCTCATAATTAACTTTACCTATATTCAGCACCTTTAACATGTGATGATTTTATATATATATATATATATGATAGATAGAAATATATGATGTCCGTAAAGAAAGATTTAATGCCTAAGATGCTAATTATATATAAACACGACCATGTTCGTTCACAACGACCATGAATAATACTTAGAGAGAGAAACATCACCTAAGATCCCAGTCTTGTTCATAGCCATTAATTGCCACCATCTTCTTTAGCGTCATGATCACTGTTTTCTCCATTGCCCTTTTTGCCATTGCCAGCACCCTGTAACTATCAAGACAACATGTTGAAAGACGAAAGCAAACACTGCAGTAAAAAGGTTTATAACTAAAAGTACTTCTCTTGATTTGCATAGCAAATTAAAAGAAAAGAAGTTCATCAAATTAACATGACTTTGCACTCTAATCCATTAAGTCATATCTACATTTGTCTTGGACGTCGTTGGTAAAAGTGGACAGTATTTAAATAAAATGAAAAACATAATTAAAGAGATACTTCAATTAATTTGAGATTGTTCTTGAATGGGATGATAAAGGAAAAGGTTAAAGAAAAAACTTTAAAAAAAAAAAGAAAAAAAAAAGAGGAAGTCTTTGGAATCTCAATTAATGCATACCTTTTCCTTGAATAACTGTTGTATAGTGCTGTTAAGATTACCCTGCCAACTTCCTTCATCTTCCTTTTTGCTTTGGTAAGCCGGAAATTTTGGAGGGAATTTATGTTCATCTTTATTAAAAATATCATCTATTCTTTTCTCTATATCTTCATCTATATCTCCATCCATATGTTCATATGTATCTCCTGTCAATTTCACTTTATGCAGTTCTGGTGCTCTTAGTTCTCCCTTAGAGAAAATCTGCATATTTGGACACTCTGTAACAATTACCTCTCTCAAAGCTGGGAATTTAAAGTTGCAATCCCCTGAGCAGAAGCTTTCTAGTCTTGGTAGACCTTTAAGTTGCAAACTATACAATTTGGTGAAAACAATGCCATCCTTCAGAGCATCACCCGAACATACGACAATTTCTTCTATCATCTCACAATTGGCTACTTTCATCGTAAAGAGCCGCCCCAAGCTTTTTGCTGTTGAGTATCTCACTAAATTGACAAGTCCATGACACTCAGATACCACTAGAGTCTGCAAATTGTCGAAATATACAGTGGAGGGAACTAAATTCTTCAATCTGCTACATTCCTGCACTTTTAGAGTTTCTAGGTTTCTGAGAATGTCCACTTCAAGTTGGCAATCTTCCTTCCAAAGATGAGTTAACTCATGAAGCTTGGACAATCTTAATGTCCTTAATGGAGTGCGTCCACATGCAGGTTTTTCCTCACCAATAACTTCTTCACATTGGAATATTTCATCGAAGAAAGCATCCTTCACAAGAAGCTTTTCGAGATTGGGCAGGGAGTGGAAGAAGAAAGGAGGAAGAAAATCCGATTGCTTAGGAAAGCCGAGGAGGTGCAGAACCTTTAGTTTACCAAAATACCCCTCTGGATGATGTCCACACTGTATCTTTATATTGTCATTCCATTTCACAGCCAGCCGTTCTAGACTAGGAAATGTAGCCTGAGAAATTGACACGAGATAAGAAGGCAATCCAAACTTTAACTAAATCTATTATTATTTGATAAATTTGTCATCTAAGTTGTACAATAAATTTAAATTTTGAAAAGAAAAATAATAATTCTTTTACTCTTATTTCTAACTATAAAAATTGAGTTCCACATTTTTCTGCCCTTGAAAAATCACTTCATCTCACATAAACGCATCTATTTTTTCTTTCTTTACTATTGTTTTGTTTTTGCAATTCTTCCATTTTTGTATCACTTCAATTTCAAGAAATAATAAATTATTATTTACGTGACTGCTATGTAAAAATCTTTAATTATATAATTATATTGATTAACTTGTAGAATATTTTTGTAGCAAATTTTTTTAATTTGCAAACTATTATTCACTTAAGTTAGATGAAAGACCTAGGTATTAAAATGAAAAGAAAACATTTTCAGAACAAAAAATTATTTCTCATGATGGCCAAAGTTAAATTGACATGGAACCTACTCTTGATATGGGATTAGGATAACAAGATTTTATCTAGCATCCTTAAGATTTAAGTTGGATAGTAGAAAATATAAGAGCAAGACATTTTTTAAATCAAGGTGATCAATCCTTGCACATAAAAATTCAAAACAAGATAGAGATAATTTTTTAACAAGTTCCGGTGAATTTTATTTCTCTATCTCCAAAATAAAATAAAATAAAATTAACGCATAAGAAAAACAAATAGAAAATTTTCTTTATTTTGGCTTCATATATTACTTTTCCTATCTTGTTTCCTTCATTTATTGTTAGAACAAAATTGGGAAGCATGTATTTGTATAAGATATGTGCATTTTTTTTCCTTTGCGATATGATTGTACGTACCTTGCTAATCCAAAACAAGAGAGGTTGAGATTCTCTTTCAAGTTGGTTGTCTCCATCTGTCATCTCAATGCCTAAAAATTCTGAAGCAACCATTTGCGCTCCATGACATTCAATCAAGACTAAATGTTTCAACGATGGCCATTCTGTGATGTGTGATTGAGGGAAGAAACTCTTGAATTTTGGTAAGAGTCTAAGTGTAAGGTCTCTTACTTGAGAGAATACAAGCTTAGTGGCTTTTGTTTCCACCAAAGTCAATTGTGTAGCTAGCAGTTTTTGTGATCTAGTACCAATATTGACTCTTTCAGAATCAAAAATTTTCCCTAGAGAATCACAATTAGAGCAAAATGTTGCAAGTTGCGGTAGGTCATTAAGTGTCAAGACCTCTAGTTCGGGGAACACTGTGTGGCAAATTTGTTCTTCTTTTACCATCCCTTCTATCAATATTACCACTTCCATCATCTCACATCCACTAATTCCAAGTTCTTTAAGTTGCACAAAACTTTTAACCATTGAGAATGTAAACAAATACTTCAAATTGGAACAGTTGATCACCTTCAACTCTGCTAAATGTTGAGCAAATGAAGATATTAATGAAAGTTGATTGTTCCATATTAGCTTTATATTGATTGAGGACAAAGTCAATGTCTTCAAGATAGGAATCTCAACCTGCAAAGAAGTTCCAATTTTATTAAAACATTTTTTCTTGAATCAAAGAAAAGTGTAGGAATGACATAGAAGTATGAACTTGAATTTCATAGGAAATAAATTTTGATAAATTAGAAAAGTTTAGTTGAAGAGGAATGACAGTACACAGGTTTTCATACTTGTTAAGGCTTTTGACCTTTCAGCTTCAAATATATTTACGTTCGTAGTTATCAAAGTGATTAAGAAGAGTGGAAATTATACTTACAAAAGAAGTACAGTGAAGTCTTGTCTTTGTCAAATTTGTGAAGAAATTCTATAAAAAATAAAGATAAAACTCACCTCAACATAGCAAAAGGCCTCAATGGAGATATCCTTAACAAGAGTTTCCTCACTTCTTCCATCAGCTGTCTCTTTCTCTTTCTCGCTTAAAAATTTAGAAACAAATCTAACCATCTTTAGACAGTCCTTTATGGTAATTTTCTTCAACACGGGAAGCTTGAGGGTATTACTTCCCACATAGAAATCTGACAACTTGGAACAAGAATCTAGCGAAAGGGACTCTAGTTGTGGGAATGATATTACGTCAGTTTCAAGTGCCTCCTCAACTCCTGTAACCATGATCACTTGTTCCATTTCTGCACAGTCTTTTACCTTCAAGTCCTTGAGTTGCACGAGGCTCAATGCCATGGAAGGGGTCAGAAGGTAGCTTAAGCTGCTACAATTTCTAACTTCTAGATATCGAAGCTTTTTGAAAGTTAACGTTAATTTTTCAGGATTTTTTTTCCAAATTTCAATTAAGTCAAAAAACTCATCAGAGAGCTTTAAACGTCCAAACCTTAAGTATCCAAGTCCAACCTACAAAACGCAATAGATTAATTGTCTTGATATAACACAGAACCCAATAACAATTATAACAATGATATCAATAAAATAAAGAAAAAATATAAATAACTCTATCCAATTAATCACTAAAAACAAATTGGAGAAATATACAAAAATATTCCTTAAGTTTTTGAAATTATACTTCTTTCTTATCCGTGACATCACATGGCCCTATAGAATGTCTCTATGATTATTAAATTAAGGATTATAAAAAATGAATGATCAACCCTTGGTTCTTTTAATGTCCATTAGATTCAGAAACTAAGTGAAAGTGAAGCTGCCCTCAACTGACCTTGTAAGCTCTTCTTCTAATCCCCTGACTGAAAGTGCCCCTGTTCCTTGCCTTTGAGAAAATTCAAACAAGAGAGAATGGCTAGCGTCTTAACCATCCAAAAGCAAGAAAGTACACCTATACAATTCTTGACCGTTCACTCTAAACTATCCCATACGATCCCAACAAAAAAATTATTTAAAAAATTTTCTTAAATTATATCATATTAACATATTCTTCTATTTCACTAAATCTAGTAACATTAAGTAAAGAAGACTAAATATATAACGATTGACAAACACAAGGAAATCACTTGAATTAATGTGTACCTTTTGAGTGAATAAGTCTTGTATTGTGCTGTTAAGATCGCCTACCCCGTGTCCTTCCCATTCATAATGAACATTTTGTAATTCTTTTGTTACTGTGTTTCCCATGGAAAAATATTTCATCTGTGGACATCCTGTCACAAATACTTGTTTCAAAGATGGCAACTCAAAGTCACACTTCCTTGTGCAAAAGCTTGAAAGTTTGGGAAGACCGTGAAGTTGCAAAAAATTGAGTTGGCTAAAGACAATGCCATCCTTCACATTATCTTCCAAGCATTCCACAATTTCTTTCACCGAGTCACAATCCTCTATCCTCATTCTTTCCAGCCGTTTCAAGCTTTTAGCAGTTGTGTAACTCACTAAATTTTCAAGTCCAGGACATCCGTCAACATATACTTCTTTCAAAGACGGCAACTCAAAGTCACACTTCCTTGTGCAAAAGCTTGAAAGTTTGGGAAGACGGTGAAGTCCCAAAAAATTGAGTTGGCTAAAGACAGTGCCATCCTTCACATTATCTTCCAAGCATTCCACAATTTCTTTCACCGAGTCACAATCAGTTATGCTCATTGTTTCCAGCCGTTTCAAGCTTTTAGCAGTTGTGTAACTCACTAAATTTTCAAGTCCATGACATCCTGTCACAAATACTTGTTTCAAAGATGGCAGCTCAAAGTCACACTTCCTTGTGCAAATGCTTGAAAGTTTGGGAAGACTGTGAAGTCGCAAAGAATTGAGTTGGCTAAAGACAATGCCATCCTTCACATTATCTTCCAAGCATTCCACAATTTCTTTCACCGAGTCACAATCAGTTATGCTCATACTTTCCAGTTGTTCCAAACTTTTAGCAGTTGAGTAACTCACCAAATTTTTAAGTCCATGACATCCTCTCACAATTACTTTTTTCAAAGATGGGAACTCAAAGTCACACTTCCCTGTGCAAAAGCTTGAAAGTTTGGGAAGACCGCAAAGTTCCAAAGACTTGAGTTGGCTGAAGACAATGCCATCCTTCGCATCATCTTCCAAGCATTCGACAATTTCTTCCACCAAGTCACAATCAGTTATACTCATACTTTTTAGTTGTTCCAAACTTTTAGCAGTTGAGTAACTCACCAAATTTTTAAGTCCATGACATTTTGATATTTCTAGAGTCTGCAGGTTCACAAAAGATACAACTGATGGCACTAAATTCACCAATTTGATACACTCAAGCACCTCTAGAGTTCTCAAGTTGTAGAAAATCGATTTGAGGTCAGATTCTTCCTTCCAAAGATGCATTAACCCCATAAGTTTCGATAATTTTAATTTGCTTAACTGAGAGGGCGCATACACAGGTCTTCCCTCACTATGAAGTCTTTCACATTGGAATATTTCATGAAAGGAAGCTTCACTCACAACCAGCTTCTCAAGATTGGGTAGTGTCTGGAAGAAGATATTAAAAGAAGGAAAAAGAGCTAAGCAATTTGTGAATTGGCAGAGTTCGATATCTTTTAGTTTGGGAAAATAAACCCTTGGATATTGACCACGCCATATCTCCTTCATGTTGTTAATCTGTCGGAATTCCAGTTGTTCTAGACAGGGGAATGAATCCTAACAAATTGAAAAATACGTGTTATAAATTGAATAAAAAAAATACCAATAGAAAAAGGTTATGGTATACAACAAAAATCCTTTGTATAACGTGTTTTGCATTAGGCTACATAACGCAAAAGCATGCCATCTGTCTTGTATCACAGATTTTTGTAAGCTCATGAGTGTGTTTTTGGACCATTGTGCAGTTGGGGGTATGTTATGACTACCGTTGGCATGTGATTAGACATGTTATTTAAAGTGGCACTATGATATGTCATATTGATATGAGATACTTTCATATCTAATGTGTTTTACACCTATTTATATTATGTTTTGACCATATTGAGACCTATCTATATGTGAGTTAACTAACCTATGCTTACTAACAAGCTGCATTTGCTCTATTCTTTGAAACATCTGTCTAATTGATTAGCATGAGCTCTAAACAAGTAAAAATTATGAAATCCATACTTCAAGAAAGGTAGTTATATATCACTTGTCAAAACTTAAACCCAAGCCAACATTTGCCTAATAGCTATATACATTTACAAGAACCTTCCATTAGAGAAAAAAACAAAAAGAGAGCCAATCAAATCTTTTTACAAATATTATAATTTGATTGGCTTTCATAAAATTACATAGAAAGATATGCATTACATTAAAATGTACAAATGCAAAATTAAATAGTAGGAAACCACATTGCATTGCATTATACCAAACCCAACAAATATGAATTCAAGCTAAATAATATCAGGGGATTGAAGTTCACATATATGAAAAATTTTAGTTCCCATAGACTCCCATAGCAGATAAAAAAATGAGAGAAAAGTCATTTTTAAATAAAGTAGAAATAAAGCAAAATTTAGGAAAGATCAAAAGACAAGAAGGTAAGCCTTGATTGATTTTATTTTGATTTAGTTTTCCTACTTGAATTTAAGAAAAAAATGATTTGTATAAGCTACATGCAATTATTTTTTCCCATTTGGTGATCGTACCTTGCCAATCCAAAACATAGGATCTTGAGTTTGCCTTTCAAGTTGCTCGTCTCCATTTTTTTCTTCAATGCTTGGAAATTCTGAAGCAAATGTCTTCACCTTGTCACATTGTTCCACAAGCATTCTTTTCAACAGTGGCCATTTTGTGATGCGGATTTGAGGGAAGAAACCCTTGAAATTGGGTAGACAACAAAGTTGCAGGTATGTTACTTGAGGAAATACAAGCTGAGTGACTTCTGTTTCCACCAAATTTGATTGTGTGGCTGCAAGTACTTGTGATCCACTACCATTGTGTCCTTGAGCTTCATATACTTCTCCAAGAGAATTGAAATTGGAGCAAAATCTTATGAGTTGCGGAAGGTCATGGAGCTCTAAGTTGTTTAATTTGGGAAATATTGTCTCGCTTGTCTCTTCTTTTTCTACCAGTTCTTCTATCAGTATTACCACTTGCATCTCCTTACATTTCCAAATCTTGAGTACTTCAAGTTGCCCAAGACTTTTAACCATCGATGATGTGCAGAGAAATTTCAAATTATCACAGCCCCACACACTCAATTTCCTCAAGTTTTGAACAGATGAGGACATCAATGTAATTTGGCTGTGCCATATTTGTTGTACACAAATGCGCATCAAATCCAAGTCATCCAAGAGAGGAATGTCAACCTGCAAATTAAGAAGGTCCAATTTCATTAAAACCATTATTTTTTAATCAAAGAAAACAGAGCAAGAGTGATATTGAGAAGAAGTGGAAATTATAGTCTGCAAGTAACGATAATTAAAATCGTGTTAAATGTTAAATTTGTGAAAAAAAAACTGACCACATCATAAAATAAAGTTCGACTACGGATATCTGGTTCTTTCTTTCCAAGGTGTCCCTCAGTTCCTCGATAAGTTGTCTCTTTCTCTTGCTCTGTTGAAAATGTAGAAGCAAATGTAATCATGTTTCGACAGTCTCGTATTTTAATTTTTATGGCCAATTGGAACTTGAGTGCATAACTTCCAGCATAGAAACTTGACAACTTGTCACACTCGGCTAGTGAAATGGAGTTTAGCCGTGGGAATATCAACTCTGTGTTCACTTCCTCCTCAACTCCTTCTACCATAATCACTCGTTTCAAATCTTCACACCATGACACATCCAAGTTCTCGAGTTGCACAAGACTTGATACCATGGAAGGGGTAAAAAGGTATTCTAAGCTGCTACAATTATCAATTTGTAGAGATTTAACCTTTTTGAAATTCAAGCTTTCTTGAGAAGTCACAGCATAGGAAGATGTTATCCATAACTGGTTTATTTTAATCCAGGACAAATTTAGTTTCTCTAGATTTGGAAACACAACCTGCAAAACATACAATTCTTTTACTAAGAAAAGCTTCTCATTTAATTTCTTGATATATAAGACCAAAAAAGGGGGAAAAGGAAAAAGATATATATAAGTTCTACAAATTGAAGATTTTAGGAATAATTTGAATTAAGTACTATAACTGTTAGAATAAAATTACTACCCAACTTACAAAAAGA